TCTAAGACAAGGATAATAGCAGGAATGAGTGGTAACTGAATCGGTTACTGTGATCATCATATTCGAGAGGTATTAAAGCAACCGATGACTAAAATCTTCATCGAGATCTTTTAACCCTCAGGCAATGCTTTTTTCAAGATAATAAGAAAGCGAAAAGATCTTTATTCATTGAATATTCGGTCTAAGCTTAGGGTGGGTGATAATATTTATTTATTTATTGTGCTGTAAACCACATAACATACAAAGGTTGATAATGACTTCGAATAAGACGTGTCATCATTTAGCATGACTACTTTTTAATTACTGTGATTGGACCATATTGTTTAAGGCGAAGGATATTTGCATAGGCATTTACTACTACTAAGGTAAACAGTGTTTCGCCAAGCAGTGTAATACAGAAAACTTAAAATATAAAAACGTGCTTACTTCTAGATAAAGCAATAAGAAGACGTAATTTGTCTGAATCGTGTAATGTATTTGCGCAACACATTTCGAACAATCTGATCACACCACGGACTTGTCATAGGAATATATATGAAATTAATAAAGAGTTAAGAGGTGAGAAAATAGACTTAGGTCAAGTTAAAAGGACATATTCAAGGTCAAAATAACAATGAAGACCACTAAACCAAATAACAGAGGTAATAGTACATCTGCTATGGTATCAAAACAAAATTTACCAAGGAAGGTTTAGTGTGATGACGAATTGTTTTTGAACGCATAAAGGTGGCTTAAACTTTCTAATTGCTAGGGCTTCCACAAACTTTAGGATACGCCACGTTTTATAGATAGGCTTAAAAGATGTGTTAATGTCAATTTTATGTCCTGTCTCTATAATATGTTTCGCAATAGAGGAGCTAGGTCTCCTGTTCTCACCATTAATGGGTTCTGAAGATTCCATTTGTTTCTGGAGCCATTTAGGAATATGCTGTGAAGTCCTTACTTGCACAGATCGATGAGTCCTCCCTATGTATATGTGTCCACACGTACACTCAAATTGGTACATACAGTGGGATGTAACATCATTTTTCGCATGTTCAAAGGGCTTAGCTAGATATACTGGCTTCACATTCTCAATTATTATGATATTAGCTGCATAAAAAGTCTTTTTTAACAGCAGCGTTCAGTCTTTGTCTAGTTATCAAGCTGCTATGATGCCCCATATAGGGTAGCTTGATGTACACGTCTTTCTTAGGGGAGAGTTGTAGAGTGGGTCTTGGTGTTCTGACTACTTTATATCTCCTGATGAACTTGTCTGGATAATTGTTATCAACCAGAGTTTGTTTCAACTTTCTTTCTTCTTCATCAAGTGTGTCTTCAGTGCATATGCATTGGATTCTACTGAAGAGGCACCTTACTAAGGCTCTTTTGTATCGAACAGGGCAGAAACTGTGGTATTTAAGATACTGTCCTGTCCAGGTAGGTTTTCTATAAATTGATCTTTTTATTGACCCATCAAGCCGTCGACTAAGCAATATGTCTAGGAAAGATAAACAATTATCTTCCTCGTCTACAGATGTAAGTGATATGCTATTCTGTACTTCATTCATTCGATTTGAAATTGAGGTGGCAGAACAAGACTTATCACTGATGATTACAATATCATCTACATACCTTCTATAAAGTGGTCTCTGAAGCCCACTTCAGCTTACCTTTTTAATTATTTTCACACTTTTAAATGTTTACCCAAAGTTATGAAAATATTTCATACGTAAGAGAATTATTTGTAGTCTATACAACACAGAGTGAAAAATAAACCCAAATATAGTTCACTTCACGCACACACACACACAATACACACAGAGGTGTTTTGGGAATTTTTGTGAAATGGATGAGTGAATGAAAACAGTGAAGATAGTCAGGGTAGAAAATACTAGCCACTGAAACGACTTTTGTCAGATATTAACTAATAAATAAGTCACTTCAAGCGTGGGAATACTCTAGTGAATTATAAATATATCAAGCTCCTTCTAATTATGTGATAAGTGATCCTGAGAATGCAAATAAATTTTCTAACTTCATACAATTAAATGTATACGTACGCAGTCTGACTAATTATTATTATTATTATTATTATTATTATTATTATTATTATTATTATATTATTTAACGGTTATACACCAAATTATCATATATAAAAGTGTAGACTATCTGATGTTTCTAGTATTACCAGAAGGTTGGAGGATTTCATCATGAGCTGACATCAGTTAGACAACCATTGGAAAACCTGGGAGTACTAGACAGCTGTTTCGCCCTAGTTCGGGACTCTTCATCAGCTCGCCTTGCAACCAGAAGGTCATTGGTTGGAAACCCGGTGGTTGCTGAACCAGGTCAAAACAGCTGTCCAGCACTCCCAGGTTTTCCAACTGTTGTCTAATTGATGTTAGCTCATGATGAAATCCTTCAACCAATCAAACGAAATTCCCTACAAAAACAACCAATACTTGAATATTACCAGAAGGATTGAAATGGATCCTAATTTTTAGCTCTATACACAGTAAATATATGACCCGGACAAATAGTAGATAAGTTCTACAATGTACAACTGTTAAGAAATGTATAATTCAATAAAATTAATTTGGCAATTCGCATAGAAGTAATTACAAGAATGGAAGCGTGTTCTTATCACTTAGTCATATTACATTTACTAATTTAGTCACTTTGTCGTTTACAAAATTGTAAAGGTGATAATCTAAATTATATTTAAGGGAACTGAGCACATTAATAAAAGGGAAGCTCACTTTCCAGATCATCTTTAATAACCTTCAGAATACCTTCAACAGAAAATTTACTAAACCAGCAAAAACGTCGTAGTGCAGATAACTTAAAGATTATTCAGCTTTTTTATAACCTTTTACAGTGAATTTCTAGGGATATTTAAATATTTTATGACTCTGAGAAGATCTCCTCAAGTACACTTTGTTTTGAGGAAAAGTGTCATTTTTAAGTTTATGCCTCATTGCCCTGTCAATAGTCGATTAAGTGGGTCTTAAAATAAAGTGCATTTTCTAATGTCATTTTGTCTTTACTACTTGTCAATCAGTTATGTTTCTGTATACTCCAGATTCTTGCATCAATATTATTTGAGAATTTTGAAACGTATGTTTATTGATAATGTCAAGATATATCTCCATATACTCTAATCACTGATGTTCAAAATCTGACGCCAGTATATATATATATGATTTATTTGATATATACAAACCCCTAAATCCGGCCAGAAATGTATAACATATGAAAAGAGGCAGGTTTTCCACTGAGTGAATAGTTTTCAGGATACCAGTCTAGAACGGTAATATGTAGTTGAAGCAGTCAGTGCATTTAGATATTAGGATTTATGATAAATAGGAAAAGTACTTCTACTAAATTCTGTGCTACTATGAACTATTTGATTGAGAATGGTATACAACTATAACAGATTAATCAGTTTATTTTGAAAGGTATTCATCGCCTGTTATTATGTTCTACTGAGGAGACATTTTTCGGCTGCTAAACTGCCACATAATGACTCTTCTCTAGCACACCTCAAAGTTAGCAGTAGGTGAAAGTGCATGTTAGTTTTTTTGCGTCAAAACTTGAGATTATTTTGACAACGGTCTGTTGTTTCTTAACTGTATTAAATTATTCTAATACACTGTGTAGTTGGTCTACATATTCTTTAGTAAAAATACGTTTAATTAACTGATATCAAATATTGTTAACACTAAATATCAGCTGAGAGAAAGAGAAATGATGACTGTTCTTTGAAAATTACAAAGTTGTTTATTACCGTCAGTGTTTACTACTAGTTATTCATTGGGTTTGGTAAATCGACTTTTCCTAAGGAAACAACTCTTATAAACTTAGGAATGATTTTTCATTACAAATAATCAAGGTGTCATCAATATATCGCCAATGCATATACAAATTGTAGATTGTTTCTTTCAATGGACCACTCTCTAAGCTTGCCATGAAGACATCCGCTAGGAGAGGTCCTAATACAGACCCCTTGGTGACTCCATCCTTTTGATTATAAATGACAGAGTTACATTTAAACTGCACATTAAGCGTACATCTCAATAAAAGCTGCTTCGGGTAGTTAGTTGGTACTCCAGTGTTTATACATTTTAGGTCGACGTAATCACATAGATAACAAATAGTTTCTACTAATGGTACATTTATGAATAAAGAGCAAATATCTAGTAAGATAATATGCTTAGCGGTCACATTAATTCCATCAACGCCACTGACGTAGTCAAAAATGTCCGAAAGACTATATTTACATAGATTTGATGTTATTAGTCAAAGAATTTCAGCGAGCCATTTGGCTATAGAACAATAAGGGGAGTTTAACACATATGATTTAGGTGGCAGAGGGACACCATCTGTATGCACCTTAGGAAGACCACATACACGAGGGATGGTTGAGGCAGATGGCTTGAGATGTTCATACATATAAGAAATAATAATAGATTCGTCCTTAAACTTCTTCAAAGCTTTTTACAATTCATTCTCAATGCCCCCCATTCTGTATTTCTGGTCACTTGATTTAAAAAATTTTTCTTCGTCGTGAAGATTGGTACATAATTTGTTAATATAATCCTCACGATCTGTTTGCTCTTTATTTACAAATGTACCATTAGTAGAAACTATTTGTTATCTATGTGATTACGTCGACCTAAAATGTATAAACACTGGAGTACCAACTAACTACCCGAAGCAGCTTTTATTGAGATGTACGCTTAATGTGCAGTTTAAATGTAACTATGTCATTTATAATCAAAAGCATGGAGTCACCAAGGGGTCTGTATTAGGACCTCTCCTAGTGGATGTCTTCATGGCAAGCTTAGAGAGTGGTCCATTGAAAGAAACAATCTACAGTTTGTATATGTATTAGGAATCATTTACCAATAGAAAGCAAATAATTAAATTTTAATAAAGTTAGTGCTGATGAAGTTAGCTGGGATTGTGGTAAAACATTCACAATAAAAATCTCAAATGTGGAAGAACAACAAATAGTTATCGACAACAAATATATTCATAATTTTAAAGAAGATTACTGAATCTAACTCATGGTTACATTCTATAATTATTTTTTACAAATGAGCACACACACGCACATATACACATACATAGAAATGTATACACACTGACAGGAAATGACAATTTAAAATGGCCTCAAACAACAAGGAAACAGATTTAAATGTTTAACTTTTTTTGTGAATACAAATAATACCTGTGTAGGCTTACTCGAATGGTTTATCAATTATACACTGAGATATAGTGACGTAGTCAACGTATAAAAAGAAAAAAAGGAACACAACGAAGCTGATAACACTGACTAGAATTTTGCAGGAAATGTTTTTACAAATTAACATGCGAATATAAAAAAACAAAACAAAAAATCAGACAAAACAATGGATAGTGTAAGTTTTTTTGAAGAAGATAGATCAGTTTATCCCTTATAGTCATGTTTTTTAATTATTGAAAAATGAAATTCAAATGTACACAATTTATATGAACAAGAATTTAAGACAAAGCTTTTCTTTCACTTTGATACCTCGCATAATAATAATAAGTAATCTATTTGTTAGAATTTTTTATTGTTGCTATTCTCAAAAGATCCAACAAATTGCAAATCAAACAAACTAGCTATGATATATGACTTCCTTTTTTTTCTCATTTGCTAATTTTGAACTTTATTCCGGTATTCAGAAACAAATGGATAAGCGAACATGTTTCAGAGCTCATTGTCAGTAGAGTATTATGACTTGTATCATTAAAAAATTATTTGAAGAAATATTTATCAACTCATTAAAATTCATTTATCCTTCCATTTCAAGCAATTGATTTCAGTGGGAGTAACAGTCTTACCACAATTATGAATGTTCTGTGTAATTGAAGTCAATGTATACAAAAACATTAGTGGAAATATGCAAAACAAAATGAACAAATATAGAATAGTTTAAATGCAGACCAAAGACAAGTGACTGTCTAAAATAAATTCATCAGTAGTTTGTTTACTATAGTCTTTTTTTGTACAAATATCTTATTGAATGTGTAATTTGCATCACATAAAAATGTGTATATCAAAATGTCAGAGAGACAGTGAGAGAGAGATAGAGTTTTACTCTTTGTGAGCTGCTTTTCTTGAAGTTATTCACATGATAAAATGAGCTTGACTTTTGTTTTTATTCCAATAGAGAGTGTTGTGAGCACAGGCGTTATTTGTTGACTGTTGAATATTACGAAGTGAATTTGTTAAAAAATCATCTGAAAATATAAAAAAAGGAATCAATCGTTTGTAGAACAGATTAACTCTAAATTTACATTAATTAATAACTCTTAGAAAATTTAATTTTAATTTCATATTTCTGCCTTTAGGTAACACATGTTGGCCAGTTAGACAAATCGACTAGGTCCTCAAAGCCAGCAGCTTCAGTAATATTATAAACCTGTTGAATAAACAATGATTAAATAAAATATTGGGGGGGGGGGAAGGACTGAAATGAAGTTTAACTTAAAACAGTAACACAGATACAAGGACACTTAGTGAACAACGTAGTACCAAATGGATAATGAGAATGTAATACTTATTTCAAAAGTCAAAGAATTAGCGTTTTATGCATATAGCAAATAATATAAGTGGTCTCTAAGGTTAGGAAGAAACATCAGCACTGATGTAGTAGGTAGCTATGAAACTGAAGAGGAAGGATATTATGTAGAAATACCTTTAGCCTAACATGGGTGCATATACGAACATATATATATATATGTACAGTAGGATTTGTTACATTAATCTTCCTAATTCAACTCCCACTCGAAGAATTATGTAATCTTGGAAAACACTTAAAATGCTTGTTACATTCTTTTCAGTAAAAAGCAGAAAATAAATGAAATAAACAAAAATTAGTCACAGGGTGAATTGTAACAAAGTTTTCAAAAAAGTGATAATAAAAATTCATTTATACAATATGCAAAATATGTGAGCTGGAGACAATAAATAATTAAGTGTAGGTATGATTGTATATGTTTGTATAAAAGTATTTCCTAAATGAAAACGATGACTACAATATTATTGAAAGCTCTGCATTGAATACCTTCAACTTGGAGAGCATTTCTGGATGAATATAACAGTGTTTAAAGCAAATTTACAACTATGCTTCATTTAGTGCAGGTATCCTTTTCATTCCTTTTTGTCTCGAGTGGAAGATTGAACTTTAAACGGGAGCATTGCAGTCTCAACAGTACCTTACGCCTTGAATGTTAGGATACAGAACTAACGAAAGTAAAATTTTCTGTTCGTTTGGTTCCATCCACGTTACTGGACTACGACGTGAAATCTCGAGTAGACTCGTGAGTGCGTGTGACTGAATAATCCAAAAATAGGGCAAAGTAATTGCCCAATGTTGCGTGGTCTTCAGTGGTTGTCTACCTGATATCGATTTTTGATGACATCTAGACTGATAAAATATATAAATTTACATTTTTTTTAACTCGATGATCTCTGTGACATTAGGAAACTGCACTCCCACAATCGTTTTTCAGTGAAATATGTTAATAAAAGGTTCATGCTTCATTTATATTTTTCGCGAATAATCTTTGTCCTCAAAGTAGACTCTAATAAAAAATTAAAAAATGCATTCTTTCACTTCTTTAGGTCCTGAGTGTGACATAGGGATTCAAGTTTCAATGAGAGTGATGTTTTTTTGCATGCTGTGGCTGCTCATCTGACATCTAACCTTCCATCTTTTCTGAGCTCACTGCTGGTTAAGCAAGATTTACGAGTGAATCGGCCAGGAACCAAACACTAGACCACGTGTGAAGGTGGTAAGCATCTCACCTCTGAACAACCGACGCGCAGGTAGGATTAGAAATGTTTCAAAAACACTGTGATTGAGAAGTTTTATTTATACATTTCACTGGATAAAATGTCAAATGAACAAATAAAGTGATCAAATGTGCTTGTCATTCTAAATAAAGTAAACACCTCATTCGTGTACAGTTTCTTAAAAAAAACCAGACAGTGCAGCTATCTGTGAATCGCTGGAAATTTAAAACCATGAATCATAAAATTCTATTTTCGTATCCAAATGCTGATATACTGTCATTGTGAATTGTCTCTCCAGTGCTTTCAACTTGGTTGGAAAAGCCATTTATTACGTTGCTATTTTGAATGCTCCCTGAATGACAACAGTTCACAGCAAAATTTACCTTCAAAGCTGCATAAACTTGTATAAGGTTAGAACAACCAGAGGGACATTTAGTTTGAAGTATTTCAGAATATATCCACTGAAAACTATTTTATTACGGACAAAAAGGAAGATAAATTTGTCATCGTCAGAATTTGGCATCAACTTGGATAGCACTGAAAGCCAAATAGTTTTGAATAGCTTTTTGTCTCAACTCAGAACTTTCCCTATGATATTAATAATCCAGAAATACGCACACGATGAAGAAGAGAAAAGCTGTATTTTTTATCCTGGAAACCGTTAATACTCAAGTTTTAGACTAAAATGAAATGGTCTTTGCTTGAGAACCTAACTGGCATGGGATGAAAAACAACTTTTATGTAACATCATCAGTAGGGATTGATACTTGTGGGTTATGATTTTCATTAAAATCTTCGAAAAAATATAGCAAGTAGCATGTAGAATAGGGAGTTGATATCAAGCAAAAAGCAGTTGGGTAACATCAGTATCTTTTACTATGGAAATGTTTGTAACACCACAAATTATCTATAAACGAATAAAATGAACAGATTTCTCCCAAGTAATGAATACTGCAGTTGATGAAAGACGTAAAATAAATAATGAGGGAACCCTCTTATAGGAAATTTGCTTATAAGACACAGAACTGTCGAAAATAGTGAGTTTGTTTTGACTTCAATGCATCTGTACAAAACATATCTTATTGTTACAAAAACCAAAGTATTGGGCATACTGCCTGCCTAAGATTTCGATCATAAGTTGAATAATGTTGATGTCTCATAACATTTACTGAACGAGATTGGTCAATTTCTGTACTAACTCATCAAAAATAATTTATGCTTGGCATAATATTCTTTGGTTGTCAGTGAGATCACCAACACCTACACCAGATGAAGGCACACGTCCTAAATAGGACTAAAAACAACAAGAAAAACAGTAGTCAGTACCAATCACCATCAACGGGAGAGATTTAAATGAGGCTACCTCCTTCATTTATCTAAGAAGCATCGTTTCAACTACAGACAGTCGGAACGGATGAACATGTCAAAGCTGGCGAAAATCGGAAAGGCAAGATACGCCTTCATCAACCTGAGACCAGTTTGGAAATCTTCTGCACTCAGCATAAGGAACAAGATTCGCATTTCAAACACCAATGTGAAGTCAGTCAGTTCTTCTATACGGGTCACAAACTTGCACTGCGTGTCACGTAAAGGATTATCAGTATTATTAGTAATAATATTGCAATACTGAACAATCTTCTCTCACACAAAGATAGAGTTTAACACTGTAAAGTATGTTTATTTATAATTCAATGAGAATAAATTGATATTTGAAGGTATTTTTTCGTCTTCTTGTGCTATTTTTAATAAATACTCAATGCCTATTAAGTCGAAAGGTTAGTTCAGGTAGTGACTATCTGCCATTCGAATTGGGAAATTTGTCAGCAGGTTATGTACATCTACTGTTTTTAATTTTTACCAACTTTTTGATCAAATAAAAAGGTGAGTATATATTGAGAATTGAGGCTTTCATCAAGCACTTATTATTAAGTATCAACATTTTCGTATAATATAATTGGGTCAAATATCAAACTATTTATGTAATTTCTAATGACAGTCTAAATCACTGACTTTCTATTTATTATTTAATATTAAGTGGATATGTGATTTGAAATGAAAAGCTGGAGAAAATTTTTAAAAACCCTCTCAACTAAATATCTACTCGCTATTAAGAAGTATATTCTTACAAGGTTGGTTTGTGAAATTGATGCCACTTGAACAATCAATATGTACACGCTAACATACATAGGTATATGCGATTATATGCATAAACAACGCAAATGAATAAATGGAAAATTTCTGATTATATTCTGCCACACCCAGATTTAGAGAGAATGAGAGAAAAAAAGTATTTTAAAAGCATCATTTAAAACAGCTCGGAAGAGGGAGGATTACAAAGAGAGAGAAAGAGAAAGTAGAGATACGCCTAATATTAGTTACTGTAAGATAGTTAGACTTATGAGTCCATTATATTGATAGTGAAATATTAAGTTTAATAGGATTCATCAGTTAACAATGAATGAATTCGAGCGAAAATATACAAGCACTTAAGTATTACAGAATATTTTTGTTCGCAGGTCTTTTATAAACGATTCCTCAAACGATTAACTCAATGTTTACAGATCACTGCAAAACTGAAATTAACATTTATCGTAAAATACTGCGAAGATTATAGTGATTAATCTCAAGATTTTATAGCTATCTACATCTTTTGTTAACATTTACCAGTGAAGTTAAGTTTCAATAAACGCTAAGCTGTCTCGTTGCCTTGACATTAGACCTTCTGTACGTACACCCATATTAAATTAGTCTATTTGGTTAATGTTGTGGTCATCTTGTATAAACACATTGATATGCTGACTTTCAAATAACTATAGTATCAGAAATGGGTGAAACCCTAGAGCAAACCTTTATTCTTACATACAACAATAGTGATAAACAACAGGAACAATGGTTTCAACATCTTCCTGGCGTCGAAAAGAATATCTAACAATGAATATTGTACAGGATTTAGTATTAAAAAGAATAAATAATAGATTATTTTGTTGCCATTATGCTTCTTACAGTATAACTTAAAATTACATATACAATTCTAGTAACTCGCTAATTATAATTCTCATTCTATTTCTTTCTTTGAGATTCCCGACTGAGTTCATCTAGTAAAGACCACTTTTTTCTAACTTGATGTAAAACGATTTATCATAATATCTTTAGTCATCACTTTTTCCGTATTTATACGAGTATGATATCCCAGCTCCATCTTAACTGGTCTAAGTTACCGGTGAATGTATTATTGCGCGTATACTGGTGCACATTGCAGCTTTTACTAAGATGCTACTTCGCCTAATAACCCTTATAATAATTTTACCTTAAGAATAGTATCTTTCCATCTCAATTTGCTCCCTAAATACTGAAAAACACCTTTAACAAAGATATGGAGATCTTTAATTTAGCTCAGTAAAAAAGCCTGAAAAATGTTAAGTCTTCCTGAATTTACTTTTGTATAGAAATACATCATACTCTTTGTTGTATCATTAGTTGAGAGACATTATTTTCACCTGAAAGTGATTCCGATCTCTTAAACCTTAAATTTTAATTTCATATGAATTTTCGACTGATATGCTGATATGAAGGTAATGCTCTGGTTAATCTGTGTTCTACTTCTTTGAAGTCTCTTTCTCGCCAACTGTTCTTCACAGTCATTCAAATATATATAACTGACTGGGAGTTTAGATTTATACACAAGGCATTAGTGTACAACATTTTTGCTACTGCAGAAATGAACTCAGTGGTATAACTTTATGTTATACTGATTAGTATGAGTTACTTAGGATTACTTATATCAACAACTAGCTAGGTTAACTGAAGTGTTCTAACCACAGAACGGCCATTTCATCATTGTACCATAATAAGTTCAGCTTGGATGAGAGGAGCAATACAAAGGATAAATGACGTAAAGTGCCAAAGTAAAATAACTACAGAAGTATGGTTTAGATCGAAAATGACGTGCCATAACAAGTAGTATTCAGTAGGTAGGTATTTTTAAACAGAATTGTTGTACAACTTTACTTCAGGCTGCATGCTATGCAAATCACTACCTGCATCCTTAACTCATTCTTTGGAAGTAAATTCAAGCAAAATGTTTTGAGTGTTGAGGCTTATAACTAACCACCTAACATTTAATTATTTTAATACATACAAATGTAATCATAGTTGTTGTAATTATTATGTCCGTTTTTCATTTAAATCATTGGTACCATAAGAAATAACATTGTAATTTATCAAGTGAATATAAAGGAATATTGAAACTTACTTATTGTTTCTATAGTAACATATTTATTGCCTTAAACCCATACTTTGTAATGTTGAGGGTAAGGTTAAAACAGTGGTTGCCATGGAAGTGGTTTCAGTTCCTGTTCCACCACCAGAACTGTCTTCATCACTTTCTTCACTTTCACTAGGAGCTTCCAAACCAGAATGCAGTGTCAGTTGAATTGCTCTTGATAAACTAACAGCTGGATAATAAATTCCGCCTGGTAAATTCGTAAAAGCTATTGGACCGTGTGGTTGATCATTTAAATAATAAGATAAACTGCCCCTGTTACAATCCAAACGAATTCCAACTACACTTCCTGCGTTTATTCCACCATCTGTACGTTCAAAATGTTCGCCATTATGCAGAAACCAACTTCGTTTGTAATCGAAATAAACTGACCAACTTTTCATATCAAGACCTAAATGTGAAAAACATAATTTAAAGCAATTATTATGATCTGTCTATTCCAGATGCAATATAACTATCAAAAATAGATGCATTATAGTGCATTATCTGTAATAGTTACTTAGAGGGATTCCACTTCCAACTTTTATCGAAAGACCATATACTAACATAACTGAATAAATAATTCAGATGTTCGAAATGATCAAATAACATTTCGATAATGAAATTAGCATTTAAGTTATCAAGTAGTCGAAATACAGTTCATTCATTCACGTTAAGTTATTGCATACCAAGTGATAATAAACTATGCTTCTTTTGGAGTTGCTACAATTTCAACATTATCGAGTGTTGTTTTGATATTGACCAGCTACAGTTTAATTTATTTCACTCACAAATATCACTAATTAGTTTAAGATGAATCAGATGCCATTCGATAATAGTTAACAGTAATAGCAAGTAAATTTAGATGACATAGGATAGAACATAGCCCAAAATATTCTCTCTCAAAGTAATTTTCATTTCTAAGTTCAAAATATCAGAAAAAAATTTCCCTATTCACACTGATATATTTTAGGATTCACTGGTTTGGATAGGTAAATAACAAACCACTTAAAACAAAAAGTACCGCTTGTGCGGTCTGTTACTATGACTACTAGTAATAATATCGCTGACTTTGAATTCCATATTATCTGTGAAATTGCACAACTTCTTATTTGACTTAATAAATGTCAGGGATGATTTGACACTTTACAAGAAGCAGACTTTCACCAACAAACTCCTTCTCTGAATACTGAAGATTAGATTACCAGAAAGCATAAATAACAAAGAACTCAGAACGGCTGCAGACTGATCAAGAACATATGCGGATGGAAGTGGATTTGGAAACGATAAAGTGACACTACACATCAGGCCACTCATGTGAAACGGTGAGTTGAGCATACGAAGGTGACATAGAGAAGATCATGTGAAAGAAAAAGAAAGGCTCATGGGGCTCATTCAGCCAATTAAAAACCACCCCAAATAACAGAGTGAAACCGCAATTTTATTATATAAATCACTCTTCTATCTTTTTTATACAGGTAAATCAGTTAGTCAGTCTGACTGAAATATACATTTAGTTAATCTACAATTCGATTTATAGGTGATAGTGAATATTGGCGACAGTTCTGTCAGAAGCATTTTATTATTATTACTTTTATTATTATTATTATTATTATGAACTACCAAAACTATTTTATCTCTTCTTCATCATGTCAATAAAAAGCACTAAGTCATAAATATAAAATGAAAAAAATATATATATGAGAGTTAATTAATTCAAAGCATTTGCCAGCAAGCTTAAGTAAGTGTACAGCAAAAAATAAACCAGACATTCTATTTTCTTGACATTCAATTAAAGGAAAAAGACGAAAACTAATAAAACTGTGGGAGGATAAATATTACTCAATAGCTAGCTAATGAATTTTTTCAGGGCCGAATAGAATCAAATGTGAATGTTGTGAGTTCCGGAACAAGTAAACAAGAAAATATCGGAAATTGAAGAAGAGCTTTTACTTCTTTGTCTTAATCACAAATTGAATATGGTATTTGAAATAAGTGAAACTTTGATGAACACATTTTCACTTATTTGGATTACATTTTTATTTCTATAGAAGAGTTTATAGAAATTCGAAGAAGACAAGAAACATAGACAGCCAGAGGGAGGAGGAGGTGAAGAAGAAGAAGAAGAGTAGGAGGGTTTAATCGACGCGAAAGGAACGAATGTTGTTTTTTTCTTATTCTATGCTTGAAGTAATAAAATAAAGTGAAAAGAAACAAACGCGTAGGTGTTTGTCTACACGCATTAATTATTAGATAATGAAATTTCATTGCCCTGTGTATAAAAACGGCAAAAACTTTTTTAATTAACTTGAATGTAATAAAAGAATAAAGAGAAGATGAGGAGAATTCCTAAGAGCATTCATTCAATTTTCGTTTCACCTAATCACAATAAATGTATTCTGCATGTCTAGGGAGTCAATGAGTCATGATTATTATTCAGTGGAAAATTTTACTTCATTGAATTCTTCGTGTGATTGAATACTAATACTAATAATGTTGTTATTGAATACAAATGACGATGATGAGGATGATAGTTGATGCCGATGATTATTCTGATAATAATGCGGATGGCTATAAAAGCTGAATCATCAATTTTCGATAAAGTTTAATTTTCTAAATCTTAATTCCTTTACTCTTTTTTGTTTTCACTCTTATTTTTTGAATATCAAGTTGTTTTACTTCTTTTGTGAAATTACTTTGTACACTGGGAGAGGAGAAAAAGGTTTAGAAGTTTTGTGTCTACGTTTCGTTTTCATGATACTTTTGTAATTTGTGGGGTTCATTAGTAGAGTAAACAGGAATTTAATTGCTTTTACAAATTAGCTTCTTTTTTCAAATATTTTTCATCTACCTCCTTCTCTTTTCTCTTTGAATATGTGAAAAACCATACAAATAACTCTAAATGTCCTGTAAGTTGTTAACACTCAGGAAAAGTAAACAAACAAACAAGGAGGATTAAGAGAAAAAAATATCATCCGTGATCGATATAATGACACTGAATACTAAACACATTGTTCTACTTTAGAATCTTAATTAAATTATAAACGTTTAACACAGAGAAGAATGCAAAACATGAGTCTTTTATAAACTTATTAAATAACACACTTTTATGTAGCAATACTTGAACAGATATTTACAAAATCTTCTATAGTAACCTGTGATATACTGTTAAATTTACGCCTTGAATATCTTAACTTGAAAAAACTATCTAGATTGTTACATTCATATTTATATCTATAGTATTTCATCTTATCCTAACTGGGTGTCACTAGATGTCTAAGATGTTATTATCATAATGATTTTGGAGAAGGTTAATAGTATAATTAATCACGGAAACTAAAAAGGAAGTATACCTCTTGAAATAAACATTTGCTGCTTATAATATTCTCCTTTCGCCTGGTAAGGGCTGTTTATGTGTTTTTGTGATTACTTACTAGGGAGGATATTAACAAAGAATCTTTCAAAATATTGCTAGCAATTAAGCAAACTTCATTAAAGAAATAAATTTAAGAGAGGGAAATTGGTTTATAGGAAAAATTTCCTATCAGATAGATTTTTTATCAGTTTTTCTGAGTTTTTATGGTGTTTCTGTTATTTGTTATTTTGCTACTAGGTAAATAACCAAAATTTATATACCGCAAGTTATATTTGTAGTGATTTATGCACACCTGGTACTTTACCTTATATACCTCAACCTAAACACTCAACCTCAAGGGAGGTAGATCTTGTGGCTCGACTGACTCACAGTGCCATTTGAAGCGATGTATCCTGAGTTACAGTGTCAGCGGGAACTTTGTTACTGGAGAGTGTGTGCACCTGGTTGATGAATCTCATATAGGACGAAATGAGCATTCTGGATTGTACTGTTAGTCACAACCCATCAAATAACATCATCCTAAAGCATCTTCAAAGCTATGGCGACCAGAACAGACTCGCTGTGGTCTAAAGTTATGAAACTGATCCTTGAGGCCTGTTATATGGCTGTCCGAAGCTTCCTTGAGACAAACGCTTCAAAGACAGCAAAAAGACGATTGCTTGTTATCGGAATCTTGTGTGGTTTTATTCACCAATATTGACATCAAAAACTTAAAACTACCTCAGAAGTGCCTTTAGGCAGCTATACGGGCAATGTGGTTTCTAAGCACAAAAAAAATAACTAGAACAAAATTAGTCAACTGTAAGAAGTACCTTAGAATCAAGGAGAATATTCCCGAAAAGATGGGATCAAAGCTCTGTCCTCAAGAATCACACCATCTTTTCCTGAAGACAGTCCAAGGTCAACTAGATTCGCTCAAACGAAATCGCATTGTAAAACACCACATTATCAATGTATCACACAGTGGCAAAGAGAAGAATTAAAATTAGAGACAGATAGATAACAAGGATCAAATTGACATACGATGTGCAAATGTCAGAACAATGATATACAGTCCAGCAGAAAAAAAGATAGTGAACACAAAGTTGATTGAAACATCTAAATAAGTAAAAATATTTTGATTGGATCGTTCAGTAGGGATTTTCCGAACAATTTTTCCGTTACGAACGCGTCTGTAGTAGGAGACGACATGTGAACAGTTCCGTCAGCTATAATCAGTCAATGGGAAAAGCCGAGCTAACTCAAAAAATAATGCTTGAAGCATTCAAAAATGACAAATGTTGACGAAACTATTAGTGGTTTTGTGGAAATTCAAAACCTAAGATATGCATATAATCCTTAACTACTTTTCCTCATCTAAACTGCTTTTTTCCGTTGTTAGAATGGATTAATTATTCTCAAATCTATTTCACTAATAATAAAAATATTATTGTATGTATAAGAAATTGACAGTAGTGTTAATTATAAATAATGATATTGTTTTTACCAACATCACCATGGCATTGAGATAAGCAGTAAACACAGGATTGACATTATATTCTAGAATAAATTCACCCAAGGGAAATTTAAACAGTTCTCAAGGCTACTAAGATTTAAAAAAACTCATACTTTTTTATTGGTGGATGGTAACTAGCAGTGAAATCAAGGATGAGCATTTCGTCCTATTTGGGACTCGTCATCTGAATGTACCTGCATTTTTCAGTGAATGATGGTGTCCCCACCGAGGCTTGAACCCAGTGCCCATAGTTTCAAACGCCAAAGCGTTATCCACTAGACCACTTGGTCCACGAGAGCCACCTCTTGTGCAATTGGTCTTATTAATTATTTAATTCAATTTGGATTTTCCCGTCGATTTACTGGACAGAAGTGCTCGGTCTCGGATTGACATGTTGGCTCCTTGTTCAGTTACTTCGACGATGTCTAGTCATGTAACGTTTTGGCGTTCACAACTACGGGCACTGGGTCCGAGCCTCGTTGGGAACACCATCACTCACTGAGGAATGCAGGTACATCCAGTGACGAGTCCTAAATAGGAC